GTTAAGCAGGGTCATTAGGCCCTCACAGGATTATCCAGCCACTCTTCCCAGCCAACTGTATGTAATTTAGCCCTTATCACATATGGCCTCCTGGATTTGGGAAGGGCTAAATTATGCAATCTTGGGAAGGCTAGGAAGAGAAGGCATGACCCATGCTGGGTAAAGGCTTTCCAGTGTGCATACCCTCAGGTCATACATACACCTCAGCAACCCCTCAGTTATCTCAGTAAGTAAGCTCAATAAATTCATTTTTTGCCAGTAAAACTTTAATCAAACATTGGGTTTACACTAGAACCTTAAAAGGAAATAAGCATTGCTTAGCATCCCCAAGAAAAGAAGTCTCACAACAGATGGAAAATTTATTTGTTAAAGCTATTATGTCTCATAATTATTTTTTTAAAAAGAAAATGAGAATGTAAATGAAGTTACAATGATATGGGGATGGAGATATCTTCCAAAATAGACAGAGAAAATGAGAAAGCCTAAGTAAGTGATGAAGGTATGTGTAAGTTTTGTTATGATATACAAAGGATGAGACAAAAATAATGTACACATAATCTTAAAATTTCTATGATCATAGTTTAGTCAACTAGTTTAAGGAACAAAATATATATCTAGTCAAGGTTTATCTGAGACTATTTGTTTTTTCACCCAAGCCTTATCTACATAGCACATGATAATTAAAAGTATCAGACTGTGCTGCCAGCAGGGATAACACAGTAGAAGGGCTCTAGTGGGGGGAGGGAGGCTATGAGAGGGTCCCATCTGGGAAGTGGGTGCATAGTTGAATAAGATGGTTTGGGATGTTCTGTGTGATATATGCACACAGATAAAAATCAACAAATTTTTAAAAATGTATTATATTTAAGGAGGAAGCATAAAAGTTTACGTCATGTCAATTAATAGAGATGATGAACATTACCATGGAAATCTATCCGATGACTTTATAGACATACACAGGCGCCAAGGATCCAAGTGCCAACAATTATGACTAGTAATAATTAGATGCATACAGGTTAGAGATGCAGGTGTCAACATCTCAGTGTTAGTAGCAAAAACAATGAGTCTTTGGAGATCTTTTCTGAGGGTTAAAAATTCATCCAATTTTATGTCTTACAGGGCTTATACTGAGATAGTTGAATAAGATGGTTTGTGATGTCTTGTTTGATACACACACACACACAAATCAACAAATTTAAAAAATGAATTATATTTGAGGAGGAAGTATAAAAATTTACATCATGCTAATTAGTAGAGGTGATAAACAGTACCATTGAAATCTACCCGATGACTTTATAGACATACACAGGTGCCAAGGACCTGAGTGCAACTGATTATGACTAATGATAATCAGATACATACTGATTAGAGATGCATACACCAACATCTCAATGTTATTAGCAAAAACAATGAGTCTTTCTGTAAGAAACAGTATATTTTGAAATGAAATGGAGAGCTTTTTTAAATGTTAAAAACTCATTCAATTTTTTGTCTTACAGAGCTTATACTGAGTTCAATATTGTATAACTGTATTGATTCAACTGTGAACCTAGAAACTTACAGCCACTTGTGAAAGAGACGTACTCTTGCTCTGGAGCGTGTTACTGAATATGTTAAAGCTGTAATGAAGTGCTTCTTCTAATCATATGGTTATTAAATTTTTAAAAAATTAAAAAAATAATTCTTCAAAGCATAAAAAAATATCAGACTGGTGGAACTAACCTTATTTGATGTTTAACAGCCATAGTTTGAGACCTATACTAATGTGGTCAGAGAGACTTAAAGGACAGTGCTTGCCCCTTGCCCTCCAAGGTTGACTATGTTCCAGGGGAGTATGGAACATCTCTCAAAATGTCCTGTAACTGTGGTGAATCATCTGTCCTCTTCTACAGGGAGGACATGGAGACCCCACAAGATGGACTTGAACCAGTGTCCAGTCTACAAAGAGGAGGGTCAACTCAGAGGAAACATCTCATTCATGCTACCAAGTGAAGCCAGACATGGTTGAGCAGGATCTTTGACTTATCTTCACATAGATGGAACTGGTAAAAGAAAGGAGCCAGGAGCTCCTCCCAAGCCTATGTGACCCCCGGAGAACAGATCCTCAAATGACCTTAAGTGTAAAAATAAACTGATTCATTTGGGCCAACTGTATGGTCTTAAACACCCAGAAGAAGTATAACCAAAGAATAAAGTCATCAGTATATTTCTTTAAGCGTTCAAGGCTTCCCAGACGTTAGCCATTAGGCTTAAGTCCATATAAAAAGTTAGACAATTATTTCTCATTGATGATTTTGTTCCTAATCAGAAAGTGTGGCTCAGATTTAAGACTTCAATCCCTGTCTAGAACTTGTAATGCTAATTACTCTTGCCTTTACTTCTCCTTCACATCTCCTATTCACCAGTCAAGGACTTTCTTTCCCCTCTACAGATAAGAGTTCTGCAATTTTGGAGTGTTTTATATAAACCCACTAAAGGGGTACTCCAATTGCTTTACCCTGCATCCCTGTTCAGCATGGAAGAAGCCAGAGTGGTCTGTGTCCCGATTCCCTATTGGCAATTAGGGTAACCTCTTCAGAGGATGGTGTGATAAGAATAAGAGGTAGGAATTGGCTTGACAGGATAAAAAGACCCCAAAGAAGAAAAGTAGCCAGTTTCTTGGCTATAACTCACAATGTCTTTGGGCCTCTTAGCAACATCTCCATTCCAAAAGTCAAAAATGTCGAAAAGATTTGGGAACTTTTATCTAATCCTTAAAAGATTTTAGGGTTACCTCTTCAGATGAGGGAATGTTGAGTAGCCAAAAGCCCCATAAAAAACAAATAAATCAAACAAGACGAAAGAGTACATAAACTTTTCAGAAAAAAAGTGATGGGGATATATGGGAGGAGTTGGATGGGAGGGTGTGGGCATGGAATTGTTCAAAATACCTTATATGCATGCATGAAATTCTCAGTAAATTATTTATTTAAAAAAGAAAGAAACAGAATGACAGTAAAAAAAATTCCAGCATTTACACTAAAATATATCTGTACTCATGTAAGTTAGGAAATTAAATTATTGAAATCTCACTGGAGTGACTGACTATGAAAATCTGATGAAGAAATGAGGTTCCCTGATAAGAATTTCAGCATGTACACACAATGCACACATATATAGAAGCACAGACACATATTTATGTGGAGAACCACTGCTGCCAGATGAGAATTTTAAGCATACTGGGGACTCTAAGGATTACAGCTATTAGGATAGTAGTATTTTTTTTCACAAAGTACATCTGTGCTTAGTTCTTGTTCACCATTCTGTCCCTGGAACATATCATCACATACATGTCTATCAGATTTTCTTTCCTTTATCACTAGACTTAGATTGCTTACATGGATCTAGACCCTGTTACATCCCAGAATCTTGCATGTGTAAGGCTAATGCCCTACGACACTTGCAACTGTCTGCCTTGCAAAGTTTATTCAACATCATGCTAATTTTGAATAATCAACTAATGACTAGGTTCTAAGAGAAAATTTAAAATCCACATTATAAGAATCACGTTGCTTATTTCTTCCAGTTCATAACTACTTATCTACACTAATAAGTTCTTCTTGGAGTCCTGCTTTGTTGGTAAGAATGTTTAATTGTTTTTACATTTTAAATGTGCACACGCATGTCCTGTATTGCACATGTGCAACGCTCAGAGGACAACTTGTGAGAGTTGTTTCTTTCTTTCTGCCATGTGGGTCCTAGGGATCAAACTCAGGTCATCAGGCTTAGCAGCAAATGCCTTTACCAGCTAAGCCATCTTGCCAGTCTAGAATTATAAGATTTATAACTAAAATATTTCCAATCTGATGTCTCCATACATTTACTATATTCGTGCCTTCAAAGATATCTAAAACTACTTGGGTAATCTGGAACCATAAATATAGGTAAGAATTTGACAAAGAATTGGAAGTAAAACTGGTTAGGGTCAGGCATCTAGAAACATCGTGTCTAGGAGCTCACTAGAGAAACACTCCATGGAGTTGGAAGTGTTTTCTTACTCCTATATTGGTTGTCTTAAATCCTTCACAGACCATTCAAATTTAGCCTAGCTCCTCTTCTTCATCTTTTTAATAAAAACATAAATACATATAAAAAAAGTAAAGAATATAAACTTTGATTATCCAGACAACTGACTAGATTTGAAATTTAGTTTGAGTTAGCAAACACATCCTAATATGGTTGCAATAGTGAATAGATGGGTATAAAGCATAAATGTCTAAGTGTAGTATATGATGGAGCCTCACAAAACTCAAACTACAACCAGAAAAATGGTTCAGTGAGTAAAGGAACTTGCCCCACGACTTGAGTTTGAACCCTGGGATCCATATAATGGAAAGAGACAACAGATCCCTGCAAGTTGTCCTCTGACCTCTATATGTGCCCTCCCCTCTCAAAAACAAATAAATGTAATAAAGATTATTTTTAAAAACTAAAATAATGCATAGATCTATAACAGGCAAGCTTAATTATTTCTTTAAAAATTATACAGTAAGAAATTCAATCAATACTAAATATTGACAGGCCTGGTGGAACAGCCCTATAATCTCAGCTGTCTGGGAGGCTGAGGCAAGAGGATCTCAAAGCCCTACATGGGCTACAGAGCAAGTTTGAAGCCCGCTTAGGCAACTTAATGAGACTCTGTGTCAAAATTTATAAAAACGTTAGAACAGAGGATATAGCTCAGTGGTGAAGTGCTTGTCTGGCATGTTTGAGACGCTGGGCTCAACAGCTGGGAGCATATAAACAAAAAACCTAATGGTACAACCAGAAGAGTGAGAGATGAAAAGGAAGAGGAAGAAGGGTGGGAAGGAGGATCTTGTGAGCAGGACTGAACTCTTCCCATACAGAGGAAAGGTGACGAGTAACAACACTGTCCTCATCAAACAGAAAGTTCCTCTTTCTCAAAATGTATCATTGGAATTGTTTTTCTCTTTTATTTATCAAGAGACTTGGATTCTTACCATCAAAGTCCACATCGCCAACTAATTTAGTCTTTCCTGTCATAGGATCTTGGACATAGTTGATACCCACATCAAGACTGCAGTGCCTTCTTTAACCATATCAGATGTAATCAACTTGGGAATCCCTGAAAACTAAACAGTTGTAAAAAACTTAAATGATTACACTTTGTCTTTTTGAGACAGGGTCTCCCTGTAGCCTCAGCTGGCCTGGA